TTCTATTCTTCTTTGGGAGACCTGAATTCTCATCCTGTTTGCGTAGGGCCCAGGTCTCTGAGGCATATGTTAATGCAGGAAGAACAGTGGATTCAAAGAGATGTGCCCGGAGTCGGAGGTTCTTCGTCCTCTTAGCTATTTCTTCGACGTTCTTGAAGGTGTTCCAAGCCGCTCTCTTCCTCCTGCGCAGCTCGGGTGCCAGGTCATTTGTCATGTTGACTTCTCGACCTAGGTAAACATAGCTGTTGCACTCAGAGATGGTTGTTCCGTTGAGAGCGAATGGGGCATCAGGAACGAGGCTGTTTCTCATAAACATTGTCTTCATAAGATTCAGCTGTAGTCCTACCTTTCCACACTCACGTCAAAGTCGGCCAGCATTTGTGCCGCTTGGCTGATGTTTAGTGTTATTAAAACAATGTCATCAGCAAAGCGGAGGTGGTGTAATTGCCAACCATCTATCTTCACTCCCATTTCTTCCCATTCCAGTCGTCACATGATGTTCTCGAGTGTGGCACTGAAGAGTTTCAGTGAAATGGTATCACCCTGCCGAACCCCTCTCCTGACATCAACGATCACTTCTTTGTAGAATGGTGAGATCCAAGTAGTAAATCCGCAATACAGCTCACGGAGGATCTTGATGAATTGGGCTTGAATGCCCTGATTGGCTAGGGCTTCAATGACCGCTTCTGTCTCAACAGAATCAAAGGCCTTCTTTAAATCAATGAACGTTAAACAGAGTGGCATCTTGAACTCCCGAGAAACCTCAATGAGCTTGGTTATCGTGTGGATATGGTTGATGGTGCTGAATCCTTTGCGGAACCCGGCTTGCTCGCATGGTTGTCCTTCATCTAGTGTTCTGCCAATCCTATTTAGGATGACTCGAATGAACAACTTGTAGATGACAGACAAAAGGCAGATCGGGCGATAGTTGCCAATGTCATGGATGTCTCCCTTCTTGAACAGTAGTACGGGTCCTGCTGGTTTTCCATTGGGACGGAACCTTGCATTCAGACAGGTAGCGTGTGAAGAGCTGAGTCAGCGTATTGATGAGTACTGATGGCAGGTTCTTCAGGTGTTCAGGTCTGACCTTGTCTGGGCCGGGTGCTGTTTGTTTCTTTACCGACGAAATGGCGTGTCGGATTTCGGAAGGGAGAACGTTGGGAACGACATATCCATCCTGTGGAATTTGGTATGTTGGCAAGTGGACATGGCTATCGAAGAGATTTGAGTAGAAGTCATGGATAATCTTCTCCATTGCCATTCTGGAGGATGTGATGGATCCATTAGGACGTCGGAGGGCAGTCATCTTGGTCTTGTAGTTGGCGAAGGACAGGCGGGCGTAACAAATACTTTTCCCAGCTTCTGCTGCATCTACCAGCACTTCTGCTTTTCTCTCTTTGAGGTCTTCCTTGATCGCATCTCTGCACTGCTTTGCGAGCTCGGACGTTAGCTTGCGGTTGCCTGAGGCATGCGCCAAACCACGCTGGCGAATTAGCTCAAGAGTTTTTGAAGACAGGCGTTTTTTTGTGGCTATCTCTCTCTTGGCGTTCCTCGCACATTCATGGAGGTGCTGAACCAGTCGATCGTATTCCTCGTCAATGTTGTCAACAATGGCATCTTCCCATGTTGCCGCAATAGTGCCAAAGAGTTCCCAGTTGGTGGTCGTTCTGGGAATTCTCTTTTTGAACTTTGCAGCCCTTTCTCCCCGCTCTGTGAAGTAGAATTTTGCACGAAGGAGACAGTGGTCTGATCCCATTTGGAATTTTGGGACAGTAGCGACATCGGTCAGGCAAAACCGTCGATTGAATATGATGTGGTCTATTTCGTTGTGGAATCGTCCACCGGGAGACTCCCATGTCCACTGTTTAGATTCTGCCTTCTGGAACTGTGAGTTACCATGGATGGTCTTGGTCGACATGATGAACTCAGACATTCTCTCACCCTGTTCGTTCCATTCTAGGCCATGGGTCCTGATGTGAAGTTCTTCAGCTGATCTTCTCGGTCCTATCTTGGCATTAAAATCACCCACAATGATCTTGTAGAAGGTGTGGTCTTCTTTATAGAACTTCTTCAGCCCCATGTAGAGCTTCTCGATTTCTCTTTCATCATAATGAGATGTTGGTGCGTAGACAAGGAAGATAGAAACTGCAGGCAGTAAGCCAATCTATTCATATTGTAAACGTCCGATTCAGGTTGTTAGGCATTCGAATGAATCAATGCTCTTGGCCAAGTTTGTGTTGACAAGGACACCGACGCCTCCGACACCTCTTTTATCGCATGTTCCGAGGAACAATTCTTCTCCAGTGTCGAAAACGGCATGGTGAGATTCGTGCCTTCTTGTCTCGGTCAGACCAATGATGTCATAGTTGATCATTCGCGCTTGTACCATCAGGTCCTCGATGGATGCATCTGATGCTAGCGTACGTGCATTGAAAGTACAGATGATCATTTTTGTCTTCCTTCGTTGTGGCAGCCTAGTTCGGCCTTGAGATTTTATCGGCCTCTCCTTTCTCATCCTTCTCAGATTTGTGTGTGAGAAAATAAGAAAATAAGCTCTTTATTTCTGCCGGGGGAATAAGCAAAATTATACTAAGTCAGAAGAATTTGCTCTGGGTTAGGCAAATCTGAAAATTCTCATATTTGAATTTATTAGAAAATAAGGTGTCTTTCACTCTCTCAAAAGAAAACAGCAGGGGCTGGAGCGATAGTACAGTGGGTAGGGCATTTGCCTTGCATGCGGCTGACCCGGTTTCAATCCCCAACATCCCATATAGTCCCCCAAGCACCATCAGGAGTAATTCCTGAGTGCAGAGCCAGGAGGAACCCCTGAGCATTGCTGGGTGACCCAAAAAGCAAAATAAATAAATAAATAAATAAATAAATAAAAAGAAAAAAGAAAAAACAGCAAGCAAGCAGTCAAGAGTAGTATTTTCATTTGTATCAAGGTAAGTTTTTTTTTTTTTTAATTCCAGTTGGTCCTTTCATTGGTATAAGCAAATGAAAGTATGTGAGGTCCCAGAGAGGTATAGTGACTTAAAGGGCAAGCACGAGACTTCTAGTTCAAACCCTGTTGCCCACTGTAAGCTCTGCTTGTTGGGGATCCCCAGCAAGAAGGAGGCTGGGAGGTGGCTCCATAGCTCATGAAGTCCCCAGAATGAGGACGAAACTCTGAGCTTAATCTTGAGACCAGGCATTCACCAAGATAACCCTAACAGCCCTATAGTTCAGGGCATTGGTCTGCAAACCACCACCAGCCTGTGACCTTCTATTTCAGAGTCACAGGTCCAGGGTTCCCTTCTACAGGGGAGAAAAGAAGGGGGAAAAAATTGTTCCAATCCCCCTACTACCATCAGAGAGCCCTTCCCTCCACCAGTGTCCCAAGTATCTCTCATCACACCTTACCCCCCAAGGAAGCTCCGATCTGTAGACAGAATCTCTGGTTCTGATGCCTTTGTCGTTTGTCATCTGCTTACTATATTTCTTTCTATTTTATATCCTACGCATGAGAGAAATCTTATTTTTGATTATGGGGGTGTTAACACCTACGCATGTATAGATGAATAAAACCTAAACTGAATTCCACACAGTTGTGAATCATTGACGATTTTGATAACAGTTTTATTCCCAAAGACTTTATGCAGGTATAAATTTTTAAAAAAAATCAACAGTATGAATAAGTCTATGCTAATACATTTAAAAATTTACATGAAATAGGTAAGTCCTAAAAATATGCAATTTAGTGTAAGGAGAGGAGAGTCAAAAGTGCAGGAAAATGTGAATTTGCCTATACAAATGTATTTTATCCTACAAAGGTAATGTTGATTTAATGTTGGAAAATATTAAAGATAATGCTTAAGTATCTGCTTTAATAAGTAAAAGAAAAAAATCTAAATAGGTATTTTAGAAAGTCATCTGAATAGATCTTGAAAGAACATTCAAAATAAAACAAATATATAAAAAGTATAAAACCCTTAGCAAGCTCAGAATCACAGATCTTTTTCTTTGTTTTCTTTTTGCATTTTTGGGGAGAAGGGGAGTTGGGGCCACGCCTGGTAGTGCTCAGATCAGGGCTCTGCATCTCAGTGCTCAGGGATCCTACTGGTGTTCAGGGGACCACATGGGAGGCCAGGGATTGAGCCCGGTCAGTAGTGTCCAAGGCAAGTGCCCTACCCACTGTGCTATCACTCCAGTCCCCCCTTTGTTTCTTTGAGCTCATCACACATCTTCAGTGTGGCAAACACGTGCCTGTAAGGTCATTGTCTGAGAGGTTCCAGAGCTGGTTGGTCCTGGTGGAGCCTTCCGTGCTGTTATCCTCACTCCTTGAGCCTGCGGGGCTTCTGCGCATTCACCCTCTTCTGTTTTGCTTTGAGGGCGAGTCTTTGAAGTTTGCTGCAGTAGGAGTTTCTAAGGGCATAAAATGGTGTTGCTCTTCCCTCCCTTCCCTGCCCATCTTCATTGTCAGCAGGGATGAGTGTATGTGGTGTGGGTGCTGCGGTTCAGGGTCAGTGGAGCGTATGGATGTGGGCCTGGAAGGTTCAAGGAGCACCAAAGGGCCTGAGATGTCGTGTGTGTGTGTGTGTGTGTGTGAGCACACTTGACTCTTACACCTCATAGAAGGTCTGAGCCTTGCTTGAATACTTTCTTATGAAATGTTTAAATTAAGGCTTATACTCCTCTCAAATTGAGAATTTATTCTTCCTTATAATTGAGTTTTAAGCAGAAACCTATAAGAAACAGGATTCCTCGTACCAAATTTTGAATTGACTTTATTTCATAAAATGGGGAAAGGACTTCGCCTAGTATTATGAAGCGCATCAGCCTAGTTATTGCCAGAATTAAATGTCTTCTCCCGTTTTACTTTTGTGAGTGTTCGTTCATTTTATATGAGAACCCTTAAAACATGAATAGGAAATGTGTCTTATATTTCAAATAATTTTTATTTCTTAATACATGCTTAAAAATCTTTAACAATATTAAAGTTTTTTTTTTTTAAATACCAGGAAGCATTCAGAATTGTCTGAATTGAATGTCAAAGTCTTGGAAGCTCTGGAGCTGTATAACAAATTAGTGAATGAGACACCAGTCTATTCAGTCTATTCAAAGCTTCAGCACCCCACACACTACCCATCTTCAACACCTGGAGTTCCAATGCAGGTGAGTGTGATTTTTGAGAACTTTTCTCAAGGCTTTTTTTTTTTTTTTTTTGCTTTCTCTAAGAATTATCAAAAAGTTTTAAAGCAGTATTAAAGTCTCTGTACTTGGTGAATAAAATGTTAAAATGGGCTGGAGTGGTAAGGGGCCTAGTCCTTTGTTTTGCATGTAGATGGCCTTCTTTGATCCCTAACACCATCTGACCCCAATGAATACTGCCCAGGGAGTAGTTCCCAAGCACAGAGCTGAGCGTAACCCCCGAATACCATCAGGTTTGGCTCAACTCAAAATTATGAAACTCATTTTCACGGTCAGTAAATACTGGCAAAATAATGCTCATCAAACAAGTTAGACATTGGTGTTTTATGGATATAATTTCGTTTATCCTAAACGTAAAGTGTCTGCTAAATACATGAGAGGGGTTTCTATTTCTTTGTATGCTTTTGCAGATACAAAGCATTGAACTGGGGGCCGGAGTGATAGCACAGCGGGCAGGGCATTTGCCTTGCATGCGGACTGGCCTGGGTTCGATCCCCGGCATCCCTTAAGGCCTCCTGAGCACCACCAGGAGTAATACCTGAGTGCAGAGCCAGGACTTAACTCCTGAGCATTGCCGGGTGTGACCCAAAGAGCAAAAAAAAAAAAAAAAAAAAAAAACATTATAAAGCATAAATCCTTAGATTTAGGACAGTGCCTGGCATTGGAAATGAAGCTAGGGTTCCAGCCTTACATTCAGCTGACCTGGGCCTGATCCTGAGCTACTCCAGGGGTGTTCTCCTGAGTGCAGAGCCTGGAGTAACCCTGAGCATCGCTCAGTTGTGGCCCCAAAAACTCAAAACAAAACTAAAAAAAAGAGGTAAAGGTAAAGGCCCTCCCGTTGATCGTCGATTTGCTCGAGCGGGCCCAGTAACGTCTCCATTGGAGACTTTGTTGTTACTGTGTCTGGCATATGGAATACTCTCGGTAGCTTGCCGGGCTCTCCGAGAGGGGCGGAGGAATCGAACTCGGGTCAGCCATGTTGGCCGCGTGTAAGGCGAACGCCCTACCCGCTCAACAAGCAGTGTTAAATATTTCACTTAAAATCTCTGTCAAGGTTTCTTTATCTTTTTTGAGATCTAAGGGGTTGGTTAAAGAACTAAATTTGTTCTCAGAGCATGTTTTAGGATGTTTTATTTATTTTGTGGTGGTGGGCCGGGCCAGTCACGGGAGACCGTTCTCAGTGTGGCCCTGGAGCCTCTCTCAGTGGGGGAGTGTAGGGTGTGGGGCAGCGGCCCCAGGGCTCCTGCATGCAAAGCTTTGCATTCAGTCCTGTGAGCTCTGCTGACCCCTGTTTGTCATTTTAAAGGAACCATACCCAGGAGTGCTTGGAGCCACTAGAGCTATACCAGCTGTGCTCTGCCACTCAAGTTACCTCCTTGGCCCATTTTCATGTCTTCTTAGACGCAGGACTTAAATTCTTCAAAATTCAGACCTGAGGGCCAGAGCAACAATACAATGGGCAGGGTTCTTGCCTTGCATTCGCTGACCTGGATTCGATCCCTGTCACCCTAGATGGTTCCCTGAGCAGTGTCAGGAGTGATCCCTGATCACCGAGCCAGGAATAAGCCCTGAGCACTGCCAGGTATGCCCCCAAATCAAACAAATGAGACTGACCCGGATATGATGAAGGCATGAGGTGGAGATTCGATAAGCCATTCACTAATAGCATCCTTCCCCAGGACTTTATATCTTTCCCATACTTTCTAGCTTAAATCCTTCAGTTTTTGAGTCCCCAATGTTCTGAAGCCTTTTTCAAGTTTCATCCAGGAAGTGGTTGAATTCAGAATGAGCTGGGGGTGAACAAAATTCATGTTACTTTATGAAAGTTGGTATGTAAAGGAGTGTGTGAAGGAGAAACCAAGGAGAAAAGATAGAATGTGGGTGCATATTCCAGATACTTGACACAACATAATTGTTAAGTAAAAAAAGAAGAGTTACTATGGTAACTGTCACATCAGACAAGATGCATTTATCAAATATGCCTTGCCCTGAACTTTTGCAAATGTTGACAGTCATTCCACACGAGGGTAGAAGGGCTATCTGGGTGCAAAAGACAGCTGGGGTTTATTCAGTATTGCTTCTGAGTCTAAGGAGTCACGGGCTGCTGCTGTGAACATGAAACCAATCAGAAATAGCTGGACCATTGTATTATAGAACTCATGTGTTATATCTGCTGCTGGGCCTGTCGGTAGAGGCTTACCACTTCTCTCTCAGGGTTTTGTACTTAGTTGCATACTACTCATAATTTGTGTATTGCCAATGAGCACAAAACATTTATTTTAAAAGCTAGCTTTCAGACCAGGAGAGATAGCTCAGACATGGGTGTGTGCTGGCATTGCCTGGCTGCCCCCATAAGCACCCCGGGTGGACCCAGATGCTGAATGGTCAGGCCCACCCAGCCAAGCCAAATGTTTCAGGGATCGTGCCTAACCCCCAAGTACTGCTAGGAAACCCGTGCCCTCTACCCACACAAAAATATTGCTCTGGGTCAGAGTGATAGTGCACATGCTTCACTCATCCAAGCCCTTGGATTCTATTCATGGCATCAAAAGTGCCCTCCAAAAAGAAAAAGTAAGCTTATCATCAGTTTGATTTTTTTTTTTTGCCTCGTGGTTGGGGTCGGGGGAGGGTGAGGGCTGTTTTTTGCAAAGTTTTTTGTTTGGGGGCTTCAGCTGGCAGTACTTGGATGTCACTCCTGGCTCTGTGCTTGGAGAGTAGCTCTGGGTGGGCTCAAGGGTCACTGGGAACTAGTAAGTGCCTGGATTGGAACCAGGCCTCCCACAAGCAAAGCATGCGTGCACTTGCCCATTCAGCTATTTCTCTAGCCCTCCAGAAACTCTTTTCTGTGCTTTAATGCATAATTGCCTTTGCGCTATTCAAAAGCTCCTATTCTGATTTCGGCAAAAATCTATACTGGAAAAAGTTGGCGTCACACACCACATTTATTTATATCTGGGAAGGCTGGTCAGGAGCTAAGTGCAGGATTCTGCCCAGTCTCAGCCTGCAGCCTGTTGTCAGTGGGAAGGTCCTGTCTGCCAAGGATGCCATATGATTGCATCTAATTGGGGCCAGAGCGAGATAGGACAGCAGGTAGGATACTTGCCTTGCAGGCGTCTGTGTAATGTTGTTATTTTGGCATTTCTTGCATTTAAAATTTTCACATCAGTGGTCTTTTTTTTTTTTTGCGGTTGGGGGGGTTGTTGCTGGAGAGATAGTGTACTGAGTACAATGTGCTGGGAAGAAGGAGGCCAGCTTTTTATTTGGTTGGGTTTTTTTTTGGGGGGGGGGGGATGTTGCAGGGTACACCCAGTGATGCTCAGGGCTTATTCCTGGCTCGGCACTGAGGAATTATTCCTGGTGGTGTTGCGGGGACCTTATGGGATGCCGGGGATCGAACCTGGGTTGGTCACATGAAAGGCAACTGCCCTACCCTCTGTGCTATCTTCTCGGTCTTAGACCAGCTTTGATCTCTGGCACCACATAGTCCCCCCGAGCGTGCCAGCAGTGACTTCCAAGCATGAACTCTGGCTCTGGAAAATGGTCCAGTTTTTAAAATAAGTTGGTGCTGGGGCTTGGGAAATGATACCTGTGCTTCACACGTGGGAGCCCCAGTCTCAGTCCCCCACACTGCCTGCTTCCCAGAGCACTGAGACAGGAATAGCCCTGACCACTGCCAGTTGTGGTCCAAAAACCAAAAAGGAAAAGAAGAAGAGAAGAACTGAGTTTCAACTGGAGCTGTGATCGTTATTGTATACCACATTTATTAAATGTGAACAGCGCTGGGGCCCGAGCGATAGTGTGACAGGTGGGGCACTAGCTGTGGATATGACACCCGAGCTGGATCCTCGTCATCCTGTGTAGTCCCCTGAGCAACGCCAGGAGTGACCCATGAGTGCAAAGCCAGGAGTAAGCCCTGAGCATTGCCAGGTGTGACCCAAAACCCAACTACAACAACAGAAACCCGTGAGCAGCGGGTCCTCAAGCAATGCTATATTTTTTTATTAGTGAAACACCATGAGGTACAGTTGTAGATTTACTGTTTTTTGTGCTTGGGTTTCGATTATACAATGATCAGATACCCATCCCTCCACCAGTGCCCATTTTCCACCACCATGGATAATATGCCCCCCATCCCCCCCTGCCTCTGTGGCAGGGCAATCCCCTGTGTTCTCTCTCTCGTTTTGGGTGTTGTGGTCTGCAAAAGAGGCATTGAGTGGCAAACATGTTCAGTCCATAATCTACTTTCGACATACATCTCCCCTCCTGGGAGGATCCTCCAAACACCCTTTATTTGGTGCTCCCTTCTCTATCTGAACTGCCCTTTCCCCTAGAATACCCGGCTGGCCTCTAAGTTATGGAGTAATTCTCCTGGTGCTGATCTCAGCTATTCTTGGGTATTAATCTCATATTTTGTTACTTTATATCCCCCAGATGAATGCAATCTTTCTGTGTCTATCCCTCTCTTTCAGACTCATTTCGCTTAGCATGATACTTTCCATGTTGTACCACTTGTATGTAAATTTCATGACTTCATCTTTTCTAACAGCTACATAGTACTCCATTGCGTAGATGTACCAAAGTTTCTTTAACCAGTCATCTGTTCTTGGGCATTCAGGTTTCTTCCAGTTTCTGGCTATTGTAAAGAGTGCTGCAATGAACAAACAAGTGCAGATGTCACTTCGACTACACATTTTTGCCTCTCTGGGATATATTCCCAGGAGTGGTATTGCTGGGTCAAATGGGAGCTCAATTTCTAATTTTTGAGAATCGTCCATACTGTTTTCCAGAAGGGCTGAACCAGTCAACATTCCCACCAACAGTGAAGGAATGTCCCTTTCTCGCCACATCCACGCCAGCATCGGTTGCTTTTGTTCTTTTGAATGTGGGCCAGTCTGTGAGGTGTGAGATGGTATCTCATTGTGATTTTGATCTGCATCTCCCTAATGATTAATGATGTAGAGCATTTTCTCATGAAGCAATGCTATTTTATTTATTTATTTATTTATTTATTTATTTATTTATTGCTTTTTGGGTCACACCCGGCAATGCACAGGGATTACTCCTGGTTCTACAATCAGGGATTACTCCTGGTGGTGCTCAGGGTACCATTTGGGATGCTGGGAATCGAACCCGGGTTGGCTGCGTGCAAGGCAAACGCCCTACCCACTGTGCTATCACTCCAGCCCCAAGCAGTGTTATTTTATTAATTCACTGATGAGAGAGAAAAACATATCCTGGCTGGTGTTGAGCAGAAGCCATGTTACCTAAGGACCTGCTTTTGTTAGACATCATTTTACTTGCCAAGAATCTGTAGACGGTGTTCAGTGAGGACTTAACTGTACATTATTTCAAATGCCACCTTGGTAGAGCCTGTCCATATGGGGATAATACACCGAGAATTAGGTAAGAGGCAAAAACATTCACTGGCTTCCACCATTTTGCTGTTTCCTGAGAATACATTTTCTCCTTTATCCACGGTTCCTTACTTTTTTCCTATCTGTACCAGTTGCCTGAAGTAAAGGAGATGTGGACATAGAAGACCAACACCCTGCCCTGATACCTTTTCTTTCCCCGCTTGGCCTAAGTTTTGTCCTTGGAAGGAAGGTGCCGAGTAAGTCCCATGGAATGGGGTTGGTGGTCCTCATTCCAACGGTGACTTGAAGTGCTGCCCTGCAAGAGAATGTGCAGGTTTTTTTTGTTTGTTTGTTTGTTTTGGGGCCATACCCAGCTCTGTGCTCATGAGTGAGTCCTGGTGTGCCCCCTTATGTGGTGTCATGTTCCAACCCAGCTTGTCCACCTGGAAGACAAGCTCCGCGCCTTTGGTGGAGTTTTCTATGACTCTTCAGTAAGACACAGGAACCAGGGTGCAAAATCATCGGAAGATTTGGGGATAGAGTCTAACCTGCCGCTGAAAAAGATACCATCTCCCTTCCTCCGAGGCCCCCGGCACAGTAAAAGAACAGAGCACGAATTTCCATGGACCTGGCCCCTGTGATTTGGGAGCTCTCCGCTTTTTGTACAGGGGTGGATAGATGGGCGGAACCAGATTGCTCCCAAAGGTGCTTGCTCTAGCGTTTTAGATAAGCCTTGTTTTAAGTAGATTGTTAGGCAGATATTTGGAAGACTCGTGAGTCAACTTTTCCTCTTGGGTTAACAGACGTATCCAGTCCAGGCCCTTGGTGGTAGCTATATGGGCCAAGCTGTTCACCAAGTCTCTGCTGCCCAGAGCTACGGCCTGGGTCCAGACCAGCAGGCACCCCTCACGTCTGTGCCTCCCACTGTAAGTTCTTCAATGACAACACCACAGCCTGTCCAGCCTCCGTATTTAAGGTAAGCTGGGGGTGGAATGCTCTTAATTTTTTATAATTATAATACATTAAATTTTCCGAGAATGAAGGACCGGAACAGTAGTACAGTGGGTGGGGCTGTTGCATCGCATGCGGCTGACCTAGTTTTGATGCCCGACACCCCATAAGATCTCCTGAGCCCTGCCAGGAGTGATTGCTGAGCACAGAGCCAGGAGTAAGCCCTAACCACCATCTGGTAGGGCCCCATCCCTGCATATCTTTTTTTTTTTTTTCACAGCATGTTTCTCTTTGTAGCGAGAGTTTATGTTGTTTATTATGGAAGTAAGGTCCCAAACTGCTCGGTCCTAGTTTCCTGAAGTCAGAATGATACTCCTCCGAGCTTTGCTACCTGCACAGAGCTGGCTGCTGAGACCTCGGCTAGACTTGTGCTGTGATCAGTTCAACAAAATAGGCCCAGGCTGGGGATCGCTCCAGAGTACTGGGAGATGTAAAATCAGAAAGCTCTTGTTACTTGACTCTTTGGAGAGGGGGGGATGAGAGGGGGTGGGGGACAGGTAGCCTTTGATTTGGCTTTTGTTTCTTTTGGTCTACCTCTGACAGTTTTCTCAGGGTCCGCTTCCACCTCAGTACTTGGGGGCCACTCCTGGTACTGCTGGGGGTCAGTGCAGGCCTCCTACCTGCAAAGCATGTGCTCGGTAGCCTGAGCTCAGTCTCCAGCCTCTGTTACTTTGTTTTTGTTTTAGATTTTGATTCCTTTTGTTCTAAGCCAGACCTGCTGGTGCTCAGGGGACCACTCCCGGCTCTGTGCTCTGAGGGCCACGGGGTGCAAGAATCAAACCCAGGTCCCCTGAGTACAGAGCCTGCACTCAGCCCGGCAGGCTGTCTTTCGGGGCTGTTCCTTTTGACTCTTGAAGTGTGTTTGATGGAGTCACAGAACTAGCTCAGGATTTGGCCGGGGTGCATGCTTTTCAGACGGGGGGGCCCGGGTTCAGTCTAGACCCACATGGTCTACTCCTGAGCACTGAGTCAGGAGTAGCCCCAACACCTCCATTGTGGCCCTCCAGTTTTTCTTTTCAAAGCATGTTTGAGCTGAGGAATTTGTGACCTAATTTGTTACACTAATACTGCTCTCTGAAAATCATTCTTGAAATCTTGCCTTCTTTAACTTTAGTTCATCACACAAAATGTCATTTTCTGTGGGCATGTGTTAGATGATCTCTCTGATCTCTTCCCACTCTTAAATCCCAAGAGTTATAAATGTTAGATATCTGAAAATTAAATAAAGCTGTTCGTATTGATGTTTAGTTCAGTTCAAATGTTAAATTTTGTCATCCTGGGTGATACTACAGATTATGGCGGTGGGGGAGGAAGTAGCATAGACATTCATTCTCCTGTATGATAAGGAGTGTGCTTAGTGTAATTCTAAATTGCATATATTTGAAAAGAAATGTATGCCATAATAATTGTAGGAGCGAACCAGGCCTTGCAATTGGGTTTGATTTTTTTTGTTTTTAACTTTGTCTTGTGTTGTTTAATATTAATAAACTGTGGGTTGAGACTCTCTCAGAGGTAGACTCAGGATTCTTTGTGGATTTTATGAACTTTTTAATGCTTTTTTGGTAGGGATTCAGGTTAAACTCTGAGAGGCAGGGGCTGGAGGGATAGTACAGCGGGTAGGGCGTTTGCCTTGCACACGGCCAACCTGGGTTCGATTCTCAGTATTCCATATGTTCACCCGAGCACCACCAGGAGTAATTCCTTAGTGCATGAGCCAGGAGTGATCCTTGTATATCGCCAGGTGTGACCCAAAAAGAAAAAAAAAAAAACAGAAAAAAAACTTTGAGAGGCAGCTTTGAAAGTGTCCCCTCAAGTCAAAAGTGTGCAAGGGAAAGGAATCTCGTGTCCTCAGGGCTCAGGGATGGGGAGGGGCAGCAGGTGACCAATGTGTGGGAGCCTGGGGTCTCAGACTCCAACTGACCAGGGATACGTGTCAAACAGAAGCTTCTCTTTACACAGTTTTCTGATGTTTTTGGTGAGAGATTTGGAAGAAAACAAATTTAATATGCCTGAGAATTTTATGTTTGGGCACAATCTTCTTACCAGATAGAAAAATTACATAACTGATAGATATTTTATTTATTTATTTATTTGCTTTTTGGGTCACATCCAGAGATACACAGGGGTTACTCCTGGCTTTGCACTCAGGAATTACTCCTGGTGGTGCTCAGGGGACCATATGGGATGCTGGGAATCGAATCCGGGTCGATGGCGTGCAAGGCAAACGCCCTACCCGCTGTACTAGAGCTCTAGCCTCACATAACTAGTATTGGATCGCTCAGGTGCGTGAACCAGAAGGGGAATGAATGGTGGGGTGTTTTGGTTTGGGTTTTGCTTTGTTTTGTTTTTTTAAATCTTTCTCATGGTGATTTTTATCTCTGGCTCTAACCCAGGTAATGCAAAGTGAATAAGCTTTTCTTCTTACCAATTTTTATTCACAGCACTGGACACGATGTGGTTTCCAATTCTCCGTATATGAACCAGAACTCTAATCTTCAGCCAGTTGTGGGCGCCGCGGCCTACGCCCAGCAGATGGGGGTGCCCGTGGACCTGTCTTACCACAACACTACTTCGGGCCTGCCGCAGCTGGCAGGCTTCCCCGTGGCAGTGCCAGCCCCCACCATGGCGCCGCAGCAGACAAGTTACCACCAGCAGCCTCTCCTCTAGAACCCAGGCTCAGCTTCTGGGGGTTCTCTGGGGCAAAGCTTCATGATTCCTCCAACCTCGTGATTCTAATCAAAAAATACTGAGAGAAACCATTCCCTCCTTCAACGCTAAAGGACCATAAATAAAGCACAAAGCCTGATCTCACTTACTGGGGCCATTTTTTTCCTGTCTTTTTTTTTTTTTTCACTTCAACATCTTTGAAGTCAAACTTGATCAGAGGCAGCTCTGAGTCGAGTCGCTGCCTTACCAGATAGTTTTGTCTTCCTTTGAAATATCTCCTGGGGGCTGGGGAGAGAACCCACTGAACCATCGTGACTCTGCTCTCAGAGGTGACCCCCTGGCCCCCTGGGGATGGCCCATATTTAAAAAACTAAAAATCGTCCAGGGGCCAGGACATAGTACAGAGGTTATGGCTGATTCCTTGCAGCACAGCCAGCCCTCAGTCTTCTTCATAAATTTGGACACCCAGTAAACAGTAGCTTCGTGACCCTCCAGACAGCTTGAAATAGATACGAGTGTTAAATTTTGCTTTCAATACACACCACCATTTGCTCCCAACGTGTCATGATAATGGGAAGAGCCATTGAAATATTTCCAGTCTGCATATTTTGGGGGTTACCTTCTCAGCAGTGTTGGGGGTCTCCAGGGTTCCGGCTGGCAGTGCTCAGGAGACCACGTGGTGCCGGGGATCGAACCCAGGGTCCTTACGTGCAGAGTGCTCCAGCTCTTTGAACTCTCTCCCCAAATCCTCTGGATGATTTCATTTTATTTTTTTCCAGAGTTTTTTCCGTACTCTATTATTTTAAAAGGCGAACATCTTTTGGGGTTAGCATTTAACTTGCCAACAAATTTCCTTTTGGCTCTTTAAATTACAGTTGTGTTTGTTGTCCTGTCAGTTTTGTTCCCAGTGTTATGTCAAGTAATAATTAGCATATAATTGTCTACAGAAGCAAGAGCTGTTTGGGAGGAACAAAATTGTTTTCTGTTCTTAATGGCAAAGCTTTGGTACGTGCAGATGTGTAGAGAAACTCCCAGCCAGTCTTCACAGGCAAGCATCCACTGTGCTAAGGAACGCCCCACAAACATGAGCATTCCCTGGAGAAAAGTAAAGTAATAATGTATTTATCTCTGAGGGTCATGGGGTTTAAAATGGTCACTGATAACCTTGTAAAGTGACGCTGGTCATTCTCTAATGATGATATGGTTCGCTTATTTTTCCTTTCTGCAGTGTGGTGTAGAGAGATGCTGCCCACCTTTTTACAGATGCTATGTCAGTTGGAGCCATGTGACATTCCTAATTTTTTGAGGTGATATGTATACATGAGTGCATTTTTTATTAGTGTGTGGGTAGTGTTTAGAGAGGTGAACTGAGTACTGTTGTTATAGCTACGGATCAGGCTCTTGACAAATATGACAGACCATTCCTTTCAGAAGTAAATCTGAGGGGTTGGAGAGACAGAGTAGGGGTTAGGACTCTTGCTTGTACACAGCCAGGCCCAGTCCGAACCCCAGTACCCCATGTGGTCCCCTAACCACATGGCCAGAAGTAACCCCTTACCACCACGTGGTGTGGCTCAAAAACCCACCCACCAAAACGTAGCAATAAATCTGGCTCTATGGAAAAAGAGGCTGTGGATTTGTAGAAAAGAACAGATAGGGTGATCGGAGGTAGCCAGAATTATTCTGAAGTAAGCCTCTGTTCTGAATTAGTATGTAGTGCTAATGATCCCCACAAACTGTAGGAGTTAGAGGATAAGCCAGAAGGGAGCATTTTCTGTTCCCCCAAATTCATGTACTTCATCATCTACTAACTTTTTTTTTTTTTGCTTTTTGGGTCACACCCAGCGATGCACAGGGGTTACTCCTGGCTCTTTACTCAGGAATTACTCCTGGTGGTGCTCAGGGGACCATATGGGATGCTGGGAATCGAACTCGGGTCGGCCGCGTGCAAGGCAAACGCCCTACCCGCTGTGCTATTGCTCCAGCCCCATCTACTAACTTTTTAAGTAATACAAAGTCTAGAAGCTATGAGTACATACCCTTTCAAGTACATGATATTTGGACTGGGAAAAGAAATGGACGTAAGTTTTGATTTTAAACATTTGCTTGCATGGAAGTAAAGTTTCTGGGTGGATGGTTGTTTTGGGGTCACACCTGTGGGTGCTCAGGGGCTACTCCCTCCTTGGTGCTCAGGGGACTGTAGAGTGGGCATGGACCTCAAGCCTCTCAGACGCAAAGCTTGTGCTCAACTTGTTTGAACTGTTTCTCGTGCTGTCTCTCAGGCCCCTCTTGTTGGTTTTAAAGAAATCCTTAATCTTTCCATTCAATCCATTTGAAGAAAGTTCTCTGTAAATTTTTTTAGTTATTTATTTACAGAAATTTGATTACAGAATGTTCCTTGTTAAAAGAAACTATCCTAGAATGCAGATAGTCTGTGGATTAGTTGTCTGTATTTAAAAAAAAAAAAAAGCAGCATTTGGAAGCCCAGTCTCTGTCATTGTCTTATTTCAGATACAAGTAACTGGAAGGTTTTAACTGATAATGTCTCAGTTCTTTTTTTCGCCTAATATTTTTTTCTTTCACATGAAAATTCAGTTATATTCTTACTAAAAAATTCTAAAACTGGCACCTTACATTTGTGGGAAACAAGTCTTGTACAAGAAAATAAGAAAAAAGCTGCTCTTAATAATAGTTAATATTACAGTACATGGAAAAGTAATCATTTTCTCCCCAACAATATTTAATTGTTATTTTAATGTTTGTAAATATTTAATGTATAATTATAATCTGAATTGTAAAAGCTTAGTTCTCCCTAAGTCTTTAAACCAATATAAGTACTACACACTCACTAAATTGGAACTTCCCAATTAACATGCGACATGTACATAATTGGGGTTATCCAGTTAACATGCGACATGCGTGTGGTGTATTTTGGCTTTTGTCTGTGAAAATTTATACATCCAGAAGTTTCCTGTCCCTATTAAAAATTATTTTTGTCATACTGTAATTTTCTGTTGCAGATTGTTGATAGTCCATGAATGTTATTAAATCCATATACTGAAATATTTTTGTTATTGATAAGAAATGCAGGATTGTTCTTTTTTCATGATCTATGGATTGTATTTATTTTAAGGCCTGTTTATAATTAAATGTTTTCTGCCAAAGGAATTGTCTAACATCAGATTTCTACATTGGGTTCATACTTACTGTTTTATATAATAAAAAAATGAAAACTTCTGCTTTTTCATGTGAAATCTTGGTACATTTGAAAGAATTCCTAAAACTATAATAAAATTCACTTTATTTATTGTAGAAAAAATTTTCCCTGGGTGTTCAAATATAAGAAATAGATATTCTTACGTAGTTTGAAAAATGTATGGTCTACCAGCATTGTCATGTAATTTTGTAACAAAATTAACTGAACACTCTTTATAATTAGGATTTAGGTTTTTTGTTGTTTGGTTTTGAGCCACACCCTGGGGTTCTCGGGGGTTACTCTTGGCTCTGTGCTCAGGAATTACTTCTGGTGGGCTTGGGGGACCATATGGGATGCCAGGGATTGAACCCAGGTTGGCCAGGTGCGAGGCAAGTACCGCCTAACTGCTGTACTATCACTCCAGCCCCTATAATTAGGATTTGAAATAAGTTGCAGATACACTGTCAGTGTATGCTATTTCAAGTAGTTGAAAACAGATTTTACTTCACATTTTGGTGGGACTTGGGTGTATGTGCATGCAGCAATCAAACCCAGGGCTTCATATGTTCACTGAACACTTTAAAGATGCTTGTAAAATATACCTTCCAAATTAAAAGGAAATGGATTTAAATTTTTTTTAATTATAACTTGAGTTTTAAAGTTTCTCAATAGAAATTTAAGAAATCAACTATCCTGGGGCTGGAGCAATAGCACAGCGGGTAGGGCGTTTTCCTTGCACGCGGCCAACCCGAGTTCGATTCCCAGCATCCCATATGGTCCCCTGAGCACTGCCAGGGGTAATTCCTGAGTGAGTGCAGAGCCAGGAGTAACCCCTGTGCATCGCCAGGTGTGACCCCCCCCCCCCCCAAAAAAAAAGAACTGTCCAGGGCTGGAGAAATAGTACAGTGGGTGGACACATGCCTTGCACACAGCAGACCTAAATTTCATCCCCAACACCCTCTTTGGTCCCCCAAACCTAGCAACTAGTGACCTCTGAACACAGCCCTAAGTTTAGCCATGTATCAAAAGAATCTTCAACCATCCTGGTGATCCTGGGCCAGGGATGTGTCCCCATAGTAGAGCGTTTGCCTTGCATGTGTGAGACCCTGGGTTCAGTAACCAGCACCTGGACTAAAAAGTCCAGTGTCCTGACTTCTGAGAGAGGATTTATTGAGTTCTCATGCAGATGAGGAAGTCATTTTTATAAATAATAAGTTACTTCTCGGGGGCCAGGGCGATAGTACAGAGGGGAGGGCATTTGTCTTGGCGCGACTGACCCTGGCTCCATCCCCAACATCTCGTGGTCCCCCAAGCACTGTCAGGAGTAATTCCTGAGTGCAGAGCCAGGAGTAACCCCTGAGCATTGCCGGGTGTGATCCCAAAAGCAAAAAACAAACGTTAACAGCTGGGATGTAGTTCAGTGTTAAGAGATCCCACATCCTGTCTCTGGTGTCATAAAAAGCAAAAACAAATGATTCAGGTAGTACAAATATTATCCTTATTTGTTTCTGTTAGGACATTTTTGTTACTGTATCAGCTTTAATAAGTAAAAGGAGGAATCATTTTAGGGATTTGATTTTTTGTTTGTTTTTTGTTTTGGGACCACACCTAGCTGTGCTCAGGGGTTACACCTGGCTCTGCATTCAGGAATACTCCTGGCAGGGCTGGGGAATAATATGGGATGCCAGGGGTAGAACCCAGGTTAGCCGCATGCAATGCAAATGTGTTGCTTGCTGTACTATCATTCTGGCCCTTGCTCCAAATTTCAGGTTGGTTGAAGTTGTCAAGAGTTTTGTGACAAATGCCTGCTATGGAGACTCTAGTGTCAGACTTCGTTATCTTTGCTAAATCAGAATGAAACTGCATGGATAAGTGAAACTAAGATGAATGACCCTCATAATCCTGTTTTACTGATTTTGATGCGACATGATTTGGGGGGACA